CCCCCCCCCCCCCCCCCTGGTTTCTAAAAATATTTTTGCCCACGATTCCAGCACCTCCAAATGCATACATTAACATGGAACAGGTCAAACCCGAAATAATCTGTTGTTAAAACTACCTCCCTCATGCAACAGTAGCATACACCAGATTGCCATGAACACGAATGAGTATCAAATGCTATGTAAATCAAAACAAAGTGGATTCATTACACGGAACATCCAAAAGTGCCATGAGATATAGTTTTGTATATTAAGAATCATAATCTAGAAGAGAATATGTTTAAGTTTGACTTAATTTATGATATACAAGATTCAATGTAAGACAAACCAATCTAATATACTCAAGCAAAGGAAACAATGAAATAAGAAACCTCCAAGCTCCAAATTTGCTAATTCCGCTCTGTAAAACTAGAATGACTCCACTAGTTTTAACAAACCCTGAAGAACATGCCTAATAAAGCACAGCAGAAGCACAAAGCAAGAGTAAGCCAGACATTCCAGTCCATGCCATCCTGTTGCCGTTGTTTCCAGGTACTCCTGCAAGTTTTTTTAGCCAAAATAAGAACAAGCATGTGAATGGCAATGCAAATGGTGCCACTAGATCTACAACCAAAGGAGGGATAGATGTGTAATATTTTGCTCATAATCAGTATGGCATAAAACATGTATTATGTTATGTAAGAGGTGAAATTCTAACGGTAAAGAATGCATTTATCTCTAAATTCATTGCATATATGGAAAGCTAGAACCATGGAAGGTTGTCAATATTGATTAATAATAGGCACGTGAGGTCAGACTTAAATTGTTCTTTCTCCTTCTCATTCTTATTTCAGTCATTTGTTTCTTCACTTTCCTTTTTCCTTTTTTTTTTTTTGAGGGATTAGTTACAATTTGCTTTATATGATTGGGTTCTAAATAAAGCAATGTAAGTCTGTAACACGAGAAAAAAGAATTGTTGGGTCATGAGCATAATTTCAACATTTCAAGTCCTTAGCTCTCATTTCAGTTCTACCTTGACAATCATTAGTTATCTGTTATCAGCTAAATGGGTAGCATTTGGCATTAGAGTGCCATCGACAATCAGAAAGGTCAAGAACTGAAGGCCAAGTGATAGAACCCGATGGCATAACCTGAGTTAGTTAGCCCACAACAAACAACAAAGAAAGCAAAAAAAAAATGTGGAAAGGACATGAATTGGGATGGTCATAACGGAGATAAAGAAGGAATTGGAAACAAATCAATATTATTTCCCCAAAGGAATTTAGATATGCATAGAATATTAAGGATAAAAAGCATCACATCATATCAAGGGACATCTTCATTGAATTACATAAGCGATAATACTTAGTGGGTTGTTTGGTAAATGGGTATGGAGGGCTTGGCAAGATGGGTTTGGAAAAAATAATCCACAGGACCCTCAAACTCTATGTTTGGATTGAAAATTCAATCCTGATTTCCCAAACCCAACTTGCAGCTGACCCGAATATTAAACCCACGATCAAGGGTTTCGTCAAACCTAGGAGAGTGGGTTTGGCAAGATGGTTTAAAGGTTTAAGGATGTAAAAAATAATTGTACCTTTTAACATGGGTATGAATTAGATTGGTCAAGGGTAAAATAGTTATTTACAGAATAAATAATTGTTAATAATTATGATATATCCATGGGTCTTATATACGTATACGTTGCATACCAAACATGGATATGGACCGGATTCAATATTGAATCTCAATTTTGTAAAGAGGGATTTGAGTTTGAAAAGGTTTAAGGAAGCCAATGCAAACCCACCCCAAAAACCTATCCAAACAAGCCCAATATGTCTTATAGATCTTTTTGACATCCCTATTTGTGTTGGTATTCATTTTCACACACTCAAATATAGTTTTACGTCAAACAAACAAATAGGACAAGTGAACCCCACTAATCTTACATGACAGTTTTAAATGTGGAAGTTATTAGTCGTCATGCAATTTGGCAGGATCCACTAGTCCTACATGTCCACAGTATAACTTTTAAGTTATGAACTCACGGGCTACAATATTATGAAGGAAATAAGAAATCAACAAGAAACAGTGTGTCCATGTTTTAGACCAAGGAACACAACATGACCATGGTAAGTTTGTTTCTTTCGTGACTATCAAGTGAAGGTGATTACAATAAATTCACTCTTCCATGCCCTCCTTTTTCTTGGTCTGTGTGAGTATGTGTGTTTAGGGACAAGGAATGCAGAGCGATAGACAAATAAGGAAGAAAGCTAGAAAACTAATAGGGGAAAACAAAATCAACCCTGACCAGAAGGTGGAAAATCTACACCACATATAGCCTGTTTCAGAGGGGATACAAAGCTTGCTGGTCTATTTAACGAAGAGCCCTATTCCAAAACCATTTGAAGCTTGTAAACATGTGTCGAAAAGGGTATCTACGTTCTTACTCTACAATTCCACAAAGAGAGCGATGAATTTCACCAATACCATTCTCAAGAATACTCCCATACAGACCAAACAGAGCCAAATGATTTTAGCCGAGGAATAAAATTATCAGTATATTGCAAAACCAAGTCAGCAGAAATAATTGTATTGTCCAAATTGGTGGGGCCGAAAGCATAGAACAGCTAGCATTGCACTAAGTCAACATTTTTGGCAATAAATAATTGTGAAAGAGGGACAATTGGTAAGACAAACTAGGAAAGAAACAAAATTATTACCTGGTGGATGTGGCACAGAGGAGGAAGTTGGCGCCGCGGCTGTAGAAGAGCATGAAAATTATATCAATAATTTACTAATAAATTAAATTAGCAATTAGCTTCACACACAAAAAAAAAATAATACTAATAATACTAGAAAATGAAATCAGCAATTCAATTGTCAATTAGGATCTTATTAGCCTAGTGGTGGTATTTATGTTATTAATCATTAATCCTTTTTGTAACAAATAAACACAGCCCAACCGAGTACTGAGTTGTCAGCCGAGTTTGAACCAACTCACTGAGTTAATAAATTTCTCAAGACCAACCCTAGAACCAAAAGACCATTCGCGAAAAAAAACTTGAAACTCATCACAATCCAAAAGCTTATTGCTCATGAAAATCAGAAAAAAAAAAACTTGAAACTTATCACAGCCCAAAAGCGTATTGTTCATCAAAATCACAAAACACTTGAACTTATCTATAAGTACGGATATATACAAATGTGTGTATGTGATTGTGTGTGAGTGTGTGGGGGGTATATGGGTATATATACCATTGCAGGCGCTGAGATCGCCGGGGATGCCACAGTGGCCGGTAAGAGCAAGGGCCTTAGTGATGTTGATGCCAAGCTGAGCCAGAAGACCAGGCGTCTCGTAGAGGTTGCAGAGACACTGGAGATCGTTTTTCACGGTGTCTGCCAAAGGTCCACAGCAAGAAGGAGGTGGGTTTGTCGAGTTCAAGTAATCGACGCACGGAACCAGCTTCGATGCGCAAGTCTGCGTCGATTGGCCTCTCACAATTCCGATTGATGCCACAGCCAACACTACCACCGCCATGATTGAAGCGGTCATTTTGGAACAAACCATTTCTATCTGTTTTTTTCCAAAACAGTGATCTCTCTCTCTCTCTCTCTCTCTCTCTCTATATGTAATGATTTGTTTCGTCGTAGGTGCCCTTCGGTGCTGTCTATTTAAATCGTAGCTCTGTCAGACGGCTTGCTGTCTTAGCTTTGCACGGAAGTTTCCCGGGGGTCAGGTTAGAAAATTTCATATTTATGAGGTTCGATTTTTATTTCCTTTTTTTTATTATTACTCAAAATAAATATATAGATATGCCGAACATCGCCCTTCAACACCTTACAACTATTTACAAAAAATCTAATGGCACGTGTGTTGGGGTTCCCTGTATGCTCACCGTTATAATTATAGAATCTCAAATTAAAATATTGAAAAAGAAAATTTGAGTTCTTACTCATTGAACTGATCGCTCGACGGCCAATTTCTATTATTTGTCATTTTAACATACTAATAAACCGATATTAAACTCTTAACTAATGAATTCTCTCTAAGATTTTAAGAACAGAGACAAGATTAAAGGTTTAAATTATTCATGTAAATTATAATTTTTCTCTTCATCCAAGCTCTCCACTTGAAGTGGGAACGGGACATATCAATATCATCCGGGGCCTCAGTCACTTCACTAATTGGAAAACTTTGCATTTTTTTTTTGCCACTCTAATTTTCATGTTACTTTCAAACTATATTTTATTTTATGAACAAGAAGTGATGAATTACGTATTATTTGAACTTATAGCTATTGTATAAGTTCAAGGCATGCACAAAATTTCGATTAATTACTAATTTTTTTTATAAGATTCAAAACATATAGGCTATCTCTATTCTAAACGAAATCCGTACGGACGATTTTTTTTTCTCCCTATAAATCACGGCGTTGAAACAGGGGAATACCTAACTGGGCTCACCATGTGGTTGAAATTCAATCCTTGTCTAGTCGTCTAGCAGCTGGCAGTCAATTAAAACTGCCAACAGCCCCATGCATCATAAGTTCATAGTTTGATTAATTCCNCACCGCCATGATTGAAGCGGTCATTTTGGAACAAACCATTTCTATCTGTTTTTTTCCAAAACAGTGATCTCTCTCTCTCTCTCTCTCTCTCTCTCTATATGTAATGATTTGTTTCGTCGTAGGTGCCCTTCGGTGCTGTCTATTTAAATCGTAGCTCTGTCAGACGGCTTGCTGTCTTAGCTTTGCACGGAAGTTTCCCGGGGGTCAGGTTAGAAAATTTCATATTTATGAGGTTCGATTTTTATTTCCTTTTTTTTATTATTACTCAAAATAAATATATAGATATGCCGAACATCGCCCTTCAACACCTTACAACTATTTACAAAAAATCTAATGGCACGTGTGTTGGGGTTCCCTGTATGCTCACCGTTATAATTATAGAATCTCAAATTAAAATATTGAAAAAGAAAATTTAAGTTCTTGCTCATTGAACTGATCGCTCGATGACCAATTTCTATTATTTGTCATTTTAACATACTAATAAACCGATATTAAACTCTTAACTAATGAATTCTCTCTAAGATTTTAAGAACAGAGACAAGATTAAAGGTTTAAATTATTCATGTAAATTATAATTTTTCTCTTCATCCAAGCTCTCCACTTGAAGTGGGAACGGGACATATCAATATCATCCGGGGCCTCAGTCACTTCACTAATTGGAAAACTTTGCATTTTTTTTTTGCCACTCTAATTTTCATGTTACTTTCAAACTATATTTTATTTTATGAACAAGAAGTGATGAATTACGTATTATTTGAACTTATAGCTATTGTATAAGTTCAAGTCATGCACAAAATTTCGATTAATTACTAATGTTTTTTATAAGATTCAAAACATATAGTCTATCTCTATTCTAAACGAAATCCGTACGGACGATTTTTTTTTCTCCCTATAAATCACGGCGTTTAAACAGGGGAATACCTAACTGGGCTCACCATGTGGTTGAAATTCAATCCTTGTCTAGTCGTCTAGCAGCTGGCAGTCAATAAAAACTGCCAACAGCCCCATGCATCATAAGTTCATAGTTTGATTAATTCCTTATTCATCACGGGATTTTTTATATTGCTCATTAAAAAAAATGGGGATAAATGACGGCGTCTAAATACCATCTCGATGAACCTTCATTTGAAAAATTATAAAGTTTTTGAATATGCATATTATTTCTTTTGAAAACGAATCTAATTAAATTAGTATAGCGATCGACCACCAAATTCTAACTGAATTTCAAGATTCGAACCATCATTCTCAGAACGAAAAGTTCAATCGATACCTCACTTAATTGTATTCATCACGAGATTTGGGCATTTAATTAAGTCGTGGAATATTATATCATGTGAGTTTTGTCATTTTGCATTGAGTAAAATGAATATTGAGGTCATTTTTCTTTCTTTCACAAATCAATTTATTCTTGTATTCTCCAATTTATCTCTCCCCTTCCACGAATGCGATCTTACGATCTAACCCTAAACCAGACACCTCTTATGACTGATTCAACATGGTACAAGGTTCTAATTGATAAATCTAACTGTAATGTACATATAGTCGAATAATTTGAAAAATATTATAACATAATCTTGGACATACCCTTCCTATGTTTAATAATCAATGATAGACATTGAAGACTAGNCATATAGTCTATCTCTATTCTAAACGAAATCCGTACGGACGATTTTTTTTTCTCCCTATAAATCACGGCGTTGAAACAGGGGAATACCTAACTGGGCTCACCATGTGGTTGAAATTCAATCCTTGTCTAGTCGTCTAGCAGCTGGCAGTCAATTAAAACTGCCAACAGCCCCATGCATCATAAGTTCATAGTTTGATTAATTCCTATTCATCACGGGATTTTTTATATTGCTCATTAAAAAAAATGGGGATAAATGACGGCGTCTAAATACCATCTCGATGAACCTTCATTTGTAAAATTATAAAGTTTTTGAATATGCCTATTATCTTTTTTGAAAACGAATTTAATTAAATTAATATAACGATCGATCACCAAATTCTAACTGAATTTCAAGATTCGAACCATCATTCTCAGAACGAAAAGTTCAATCGATACCTCACTTAATTGTATTCATCACGAGATTTGGGCATTTAATTAAGTCGTGGAATATTATATCATGTGAGTTTTGTCATTTTGCATTGAGTAAAATGAATATTGAGGTCATTTTTCTTTCTTTCACAAATCAATTTATTCTTGTATTCTCCAATTTATCTCTCCCCTTCCACGAATGCGATCTTACGATCTAACCCTAAACCAGACACCTCTTATGACTGATTCAACATGGTACAAGGTTCTAATTGATAAATCTAACTGTAATGTACATATAGTCGAATAATTTGAAAAATATTATTACATAATCTTGGACATACCCTTCCTATGTTTAATAATCAATGATAGACATTGAAGACTAGAAAAGTCGTAACCGCTTCGTTTCATATTATATGATAGGCAAAACATATAATTTAGTTTATTTGACTGTTGCTGTGAAGCCCAAAAGACACTTGGAAGCTGTTGTGTGAAAAGTTGAAGGAGAAGAGTACATGTTCATACCAGTCTGACCGCTTCGTTTCATATTGAAATGAAGTAAAGCAGTTGAGAGAGAAGACCAAGTCTTTCTTTTTTGTAGTTTAACGCTGAGTCTTGTTTAGGTGTCCTTTAATTAGTTTCTGCTCTGATCTGGTTAAAAATAAATCATTCACTTTAAAATTAAGATATTCATGAGAAATAAATTTCATATAATTCGATATCAAAATTCAAACATAGAATATCTAAGTTTTCAAATTATCCCTACCATCACTTGAGCCACATCTTGAAATTGAATGTCAAATCTTTCCAATGTCCGGAAAGACAAACAAAAGAGAAAAAAAATTAATGCTAATAGATCTAGAAAGAACAGGGTTGAAGGGCCGAATGCTACATCTGCCAACATTTTGCATTTGATAAAAAAAAAAAAAAACATTATGCATTTTATGAGCCTAACTAATCTATAACTTATGATTCATTTTGTGTAACAAAAAAATAGATGGTTTGTATTTGATCAAATTCGAGAGAGGATTAGTCAAAGTATGCGTCAACTGACACGAACAACCTTTAAGTATAATACAAAACAAAAAATAAGAAGACTGAGACGAATGATATATAGAATATCATATTTGGATCAAAAAAAGTAAAAGAAAATAAATTAAGGGATGAGTCTTCCTTTCAATTTACCCAAAAAAAGAAGAAAAAAGTACTTATTTTAAAATTTAAAATTTTTTTTTTTACTTTCATATTTCCTGTAAATATTCAATTGGTTTGTTCGATATGATCCATAAGTTAATTTTACTTGTGAGGATATAATGAAAATATATAATTTTTTTTCTTAATTTCACTTAACAAATAAATTTATTTTTTTTTAAATTAAAAAGTATATCATTTCTATTTTACTTTCTTGATTTTTTTTTCGACATTAAAGTCACAAATTCTTGATGTTATGACCGTAAATTCGAACCTCCTTGTTCCTCCACCTAATAATGCCCGACCAGAATTGAAAACTGAGCCTGGGCCTAAGCGTGGCCTTGGGCCGTAGAACATGTTTGGAAGTACAACTCTCACAAAACGAAGCCGTTTTAGGGACGCCAAGGCGGGAGAAGTTTTCGAACGCCAAGTCCGTGAAGAAGAAGAGCTTCTACGGTGTCTTCGAGAGGTGGTTCACTCCATAATTTGATGAAAACGAGTCTGTTTATATATATTTGGGTCACAGTTGATATGGGTATCTACATATGTGCAGTTTACGTGACTGTAATTTTGGTGTTTTCTGTTAATTTTTTAGTTTCCGGTTGTACCGGACACTCCAACTGAGCTTATAGAGTACTTCCTTGATGCTGAAGCTCGGGAGATTTAGTTTGACATTGCAAGATGGAGACCCCAGGTTTGTTCTCTAATATCAGAAAATGTCAATTCGTTGCGTTCTATATGCTAAGATTGGGTCTTTTGTGTTTGACAATTTGCTTCTTTGGACATCATTGTTGGGTTCTATTTTCTATCATATTCATGATGATTACACAACCA